AAGCCAAAGACGAGGATGTGGTCCATAGGCCAAGTGCTACCAACAGGCTACATATGCCAAGGACTGCCGGCAATGAGGTCGCTGGTGACTTTGACAAGAGGTCAAGGTTTTCTTTTTAGGGCGGGGGTGGGGGACGCACCTGAATGTAGTGTCTTTGGGAGAAAATGGGCAGAGAAGAAGCAGAGAGAATGCAAGTGAACTGTTTCACTGAGTCTCGCCACAAACTGAAGCGGAGAAAAGGGTGGTAGCTGCAGGGGATGTGGGTCTCAAGGGGGTTTTGTTTTAGTTTTAAGATGGGAGATATTGCAGCCTATTTGGGTGCTGATGAGAATAAAATAAACCTGCAGAAAGGGGAAACTGATAATGTAGGAAAAGAGCCGATATCGTGTATTAATGATTGCAAAATTTCTGGATTGTTGAGGAGAGGCAAAATAAACATTTCACAAGAAAAATGGATTAACTGTGGGACTTTCCAGCTGGCTCACCTGTGGGCATGGGCTCACTTGGGGACTCCCCTGTGGCCTTGTCATCACCGTCATTCTCACACAAGGCAACGGTTCTTCCTTTCCATTCACTTTTAGGAAGCAGTTCCACAACCACCATGTCTCCATGAATCGAGCGGTTTCGAGCCTTCATCCCGTGGATGAGGATGTCACTAACTAAACCTGCGTTTGGGACAGCACAGAGAAACCCCATAAAGTCAAGGGGGGTGCCACACCAGTGAGGCACTTTGAACATAATATATCTGAGGTCTACTCAGCTTTCCTACAAAGAAAAGCCTCCTTCTTTAAAAAAAATAGGTCAAGCTTCTTCATTTTGTTCCACAGGCTAGGAATGAGGAAACACAGCCGCCATGTCATACTCTATAATGTGCTTTCATAAAGGATCACCTTCAATAGTCCTTTAAAGTAGGTAACAGTTCCCTACATGAGACCATGTAAGCCTACATTGGGATTCTGTCACACACCTGCAGGGGCCACACAGCCAGGGCGAGGCCAGCAGGCTCATGAACTATGGACACTGCAGCACTGACGGTGGGGGGGGGGGGGCCGGATTCTGACGAGCAAAAGCCCCGAGAAAGCCATTGCGTCTCATTCTCCTTCAGCCCAGCCATGCTCCCTGACTGTCAGGGTTTTCTGCACCTTGTCATTGTAGAAGTAGGAAGTACACGCCATCATTCAACTTATTTACATATTTTCTTCATTTTATACTTTTTTAGTGATTCCAATGAGGTAATATAGCACATTGGAGGCAGTTCCGGGGCAATGTCTTAAAATCATGGGTCAGACTGCCTTAGTGGCAGTCTCAGCCCCCCACTCAGCAAGTGTTGATCTTGGGCAAGTTACTGTGCTTCCTTGGAATTTAGTTTCCTCACGTGTAGCCTTGTGTATCCTCATGTAAAAAAGGTGGAAAACAATAATACCTATGTTAAGTGTTCAGAAAAGTACCTAGTACAGTGATGGCGAACCTTTTGAGCTCGGCGTGTCAGCATTTTGAAAAACCCTAACTTAAATCTGGTGCCGTGTCACATATAGAAATTTTTTGATCTTTGCAACCATAGTAAAACAAAGATTTATATATATATATATATATATATATATTTTTTTTTTTTAATATATTTTATTGATTTTTTACAGAGAGGAAGGGAGAGAGATAGATAGTTAGAAACATCGATGGGAGAGAAACATCGACCAGCTGCCTCCTGCACATCTCCCACGGGGGATGTGCCCGCAACCCAGGTACATGCCCTTGACCGGAATCGAACCTGGGACCCTTCAGTCCGCAGGCCGACACTCTATCCACTGAGCCAAACCGGTTTTGGCAAGATTTATATTTTTGATATTTATTTTATATATTTAAATGCCATTTAACAAAGAAAAATCAACCAAAAAAATGAGTTCGCGTGTCACCTCTGACACGCGTGTCATAGGTTCGCCATCACTGACCTAGTATATAGTAACCACCCAATAAAATATTAGCTATTATAATTTTTAAAGTTGCTGACAATAAATTCAGAAATCATCAACAAAAAGTTAGAGAAGAAAAAAAATCAACTCATGATCCCACACGCACAGTGTACATGGGGATATCTGACATTGCATATATGATGTGACAACTTCAACTTTACTTTCTTCATTGGGTAATATCAGAATGAAAAGCTAGTATGGAGATTTATGTAAGGTTTATACTGAACCTGAATCTTTACTGCTGGCTCCTTGAAGTCGCACAAAAGCTTCTATTTGTGCTCTGTGTTTGTTGACGTTCAGAATTCCCTGAAATCATAATAAAAATCAATGTAGAATTTTTTTTCCTGCCTGTTTTACCTCCAAAAGATAAAAACATAAATTTAAAAAACCTATATAAAAATATCCCCATAATACTCTTATAAGGTCTGTGATCCCTTTGTTTAGGACTAATATTCATCACCTCAGGTTTCTTTCTCCAGAAAATACACCATCATTTTGAACTATTCTTAGCTATACCAAATGTTGAAAGTGCCAGGATCTCTTACCTAAGCGATGAGTGGTCTTTAAAAACCTTCGTTCTCAAAGTACTCTCCCAAGAATGTTGTGAAATCTACTCCCAAGTTGGAAGAATTAGTCCTTCTAGGTATAGTAATTTAAAATGCCCACACTTAAGGGAAGGAATTCAGTGTTGTATTCTCAAATTTCTGCCTGCATAGAAGTAATCTGAGTAGTTTGTTAAAAATGTAAAATCCAAGACAGAACAATTCTGTATCTTGATTGTGGAGGTAGATACACAAATCTAACCATGTAATAAAACTGCATAGAAACACACACACACACGAGTACATGCAAAACTTAAAATCTGAATAATTTTATCTGCTTTATTCTCAAGACCCTGACAGCATACGGGTTCTAGGTTCTGGGGGGTCATAAAGGGCCCTTGGAAGGGGCGAAAAAATGACAAAGGAGTGAAGAAGCCAAATTTCACTAATTTTACAATTTTGCCAAACCTCCAGACCTTGATTCAAAAATACATTCTCTTTCCCAGTGATAGAAGGCATTTACAAGGTTACTCGTGTGATGCTCAATATGTAGTCCAATTCAGAACACGATAGAGCAGTTCCAACCAGACAGCCATGTCTACAGGAAGAATGACTCCCAAAGCACCTTAAACATCGCTGGCCTGGGCTTGCTCATACCCACCCATCTTGTTTACAGCCTTTGACATTAGACACCCCTGACAGGAGACAAGAAGAGAACGTACTGGCCGGTCCTGATGCGCACTCTTCATTACCACCTCACCTGGATATAGCGTCCGGACTTAATGCCAGCTTCTAACACTTCCAGGGGAAGATGTTCAGGGTACTCCTTCCTGTGGCTCTCCTGACTCTCATTCTCTCTTTCCCGCCGAGACTGAAGGATAGAGTCACAAAGCTCGTGGGCGGCTTTTAAATCAGGCCAAAAATTGTCCAGGTAATTCTGCATTCAATGGAGGCACAAGAGAAACATGGTCAGAAGAGAATAACTCTTCATTATAGTAGTATTATAAAACAATCCCAAACAGGAACGGTCAGCATGCAGTTTTGAAGATGTGTCAAATGAGCAGTACCTTCCTAAACCTCATGCTACCAGTTCACTTCCTGCCATCTCATTAACCCCTGAAGCCTTGCCAATGAACCCCAGGGAGGCTGTTCCTCCATGGAACTCTTCCACCTCCCTGATTACTCTCTCTGAACTTTCAAATCTCCTTCTCTCTCTCTCCACACACAGGCATATACACACAAACAGTCTGCCTGGCATGTCATTGCTGCAGATAATGGCCTATAATGAATGGACAGAAAAAGCTCCTATCTTTTTTTTTTTAATACCCTGAAATGTTTGAAATTTATAAGAAACTTAAGTACATAAAAATGGCAAGAAGTAAAGTGTATAAGAAAATGTCTTCCTTCCCTCAATCCATTGGCAATGTCAAATGAGCAGAGAGCGGGGAAAGTCAAGTGAGCAAAGTACTGGTATTCTTTGGTGTTAGGTTTTCCCCCACTTCATAAGCTCCCAGAAGACTGAGCCTTCTCAGACTGTCCACAGATGTAGTAACACTCCTCATGTAAATGATACTCGAAGTTGCTATTAGTGTGATGACCTGGTATGAACATAACTTTGAAGCAAGTGGCCAGAGTCCCCGCCAATATTACCGAATACCATTGAACATCTTGGCGTAGTTCTTTCAGAAAGGCCCTGGACAAAACCCCAAGGCGATCACGCACAAGAGGACTGTGTGGTGGGTGAGGCTGGCTGTGTTACTTCTACTCTGTGTGTCCAGGGAACACTCCCTCAAATGGACGACTCTCACTAAACAAAATCAAATTTAGATAGGATTTTTAATTCAACTTTAAAAAAATATTTATTGATTTCAGAGAAGAAGGGAGAGGGTGAGAAAGATAGAAACATCAATGATGAGAGAGAATCATTGATTGGCTGCCTCTTGCAGGCCCCACACTGGGGATCGATCCAGCAATCCGGGCATGTGCCCTGGCTGGGAATCAAATCTCTTGGATTATAGGGTAATGCTCAACCACTGAGCAACAATGGCTGGGCATTAATTCAACTTTAAGTCTAAGGTAGGATCTAGCATTCTCTTTCTGTACTTAAAAAGAAAATAAATGATCCTTGTTAACTCTAGCTTTTCTCCCACTAATTTCAGGGTCCTGTTCAAACTGCTTCCTTTCTTACCCTAGTCCTCCCAGAAGTTCTGTCTGTGCTAACATTGGTACCCCAATTCTGTGGTCACTTATCATTTATTAGCACCAAGAATTAGTCTCTGCTCAAAAAAAGCAACTGTTGCACACCATGAGTATGAGCCTCAGATATCAAAGGTTTGGTAAAAGCTGGGTTTGATTCTTCCTAAGGAGAATAGGAAATGTTTACTTAGGATTAGTGGCAGTTGCTCTTGTGGTGCAGCTGGGTAAGGTGGAAAACATAATTCAGAAAATTGTGTGAGGGGGGGTCAGGAAAGACACCAGAAGTTACAGGAGCCTTGGTAAAAGTTGTCTGCTTAAGTGTGTGTGTGTTTAAATTTATGCATTTTTATTTAACAAATAACTTCAGTAAACAGCACTGTAAAGTGAACTGTTAAAATTAAAAGGCATTTAAAACAAGAATGTGAGTAGTATGAAACAAAATGGGCAACTCAGTGAGAAGTGAATATACAGTGGTCTGTTTTAGTGCTGATTGAAAATAAGGCTTAAGTGATAGCTGTTGCATAAGCCACAGTACAACTTTAACAAGTTCATTGACAAAGCAAATTTATAGCGAAAACATCAAGGAAAAAGTACTGATCAAAAAGTCTGCCTGGTCAGTCTGGCTCAGTGGTTGAGTGTCAACCTATGAATCAGGAGGACATGGTTGACTTCTGGTCAGGGCACGTGCCCAGGTGCCCAAGTGCCTGGGTTGTGGGCTTGATCCCCAGTAGGGGGCATTCAGAAGGCAGCCCATCAGTGATTCTCTCTCATCATTGATGCTTCTGTCTTTCTCTTCCTATCCCTTCCTCTCTGAAATCAATAAAAATATATCTACACTAATAAAAGAGAAATATGTAAATTGGTCGTCACTCTGCTATGCCCACTAGCCAATCAGGATGAGCATGCAAATTAACCCAACAAAGATGGTGGGTTAATTTGCATACGCAGGCACGGAGCGAAGACTGAAGGCTCCGGCCTGACCGAAGACTGAAGACGATTGAAGACTGAAGACTGAAGAGGCTTGGCTTCTCTGCTGCGGCCGGAGCGGAGAAGCCTTGCTGCAGCCGGAGCAGAGAAGCGAAGCCTTGTTGCGGCCAGAGCAGAGAAGCCTAGCCTCGAGGCTTGGCTTCTCCGCTGCGGCCAGACCAAAGGCCTGGGTCCTGGGTGCTGGAGGAAAACCGGTGCCGGCAGCCAGGGGAAGGAAGGCCTATTGCGTGAATCTTCATGCAATGGGCCTCTAGTTTAAAAATAAAAGTCTTACTCCTAAATTGCAAAAAAAAACCCCACACATAAATCTAAACTAAATTGCGACTAACTACATTAAATGATTAGAAGTGATTTTTAAGAAAGCACCAGGCTTTAAACAAAATAAAATGAATAAGATAAAATAAATTCACCCAAAGGTCTCCAATTCAGCAAATACTATATAAATGAAGGACTTTATGTAAATCAAGAAATTTATTTTGCAGAAAAATTTCCAGTACTTTTATCCAAGGTTTGAATTTATAAAGAGAAGGCATAAAAGTTACCAAGATTAACTTTTACTACTATAAACCACCTATTCCAGAGGGTTTATTGCCTTAGCTCTTCCCCATCTAACTTCAAGTCCCCACAGAAAATTCTGGGCTTCCTTCGCACATGATCTTCACAGTATCTCCTTTCTCCTGTTATCATTCACTTCTATGAAGCCCTCGGTCACAGAGGAGTTTGCTTAGGAGATGCTATACAAAATAAAACTGTACTATACCACTGAACTACAAAGAAAAGTAATTTTCACAAAAAGTAGAAAAATGTAATTTTAGTCAACTGTCCTCTGCAGGAACAAGACATGATGTATTGCAACAGAAAAAATAAGTGACACTGCCATTAATATCCAGTGCCCTGGAATTCACTGGCACGCCAGAACACTTTTTATAGTGGGGCCAAGAGAATTCTATTGGCAAATCTTTTGCTATACACACACCTTGAAACACTTACAGAATCTACAATTTGAAATCCAACTAGACTTTCTGTAAACGACAGGGGTAATGGAGGGCCTCATTCTAGTCTCTCAATCAAAAAAAGATATCAACCATTGGAACTTGATTGACCAACTGGGCAGACAGAAGAGACATGTAATCGACAGAGAGATTAATACTCATCCTACTGTCCCAAAAGGTACCTACGAAATAGGAGAACTGTGTTGCTAAGACGGCCCAAGAACCTGTCACCGAGAATGCTGCTCCTTCCTGTGATCTGTACACCAAACTGACCCAACAGCCCTCACATAAACAATATCATGTCTCTCCCCTTCCTTTAGTCTCTCAACCCCATGCATATTCATAAGTGGGGAAGAGTGAAGAAACCAGACTGGCCTTTAAAACTGTGTTTTATGTGTATTCAGAGGAATTATCTGGGAGGCAGTAAAGCATGATAGTTAAGAGCTTTGGAATAAGGACTGCCTGGGTTCTAATCCCAGTTCTACCACTTTCTACTCATGTGACCTTGGGCAAGTTGCTTAGCCTTTCTGTGCTTTAGTTTTCTTCCTCACCAATAAAATGGGGATGATAACACATACCTCACAGGGTTGTTGCCAGAATTAAATGAAATAATACATTTAGAACAGTGTGTGGCATAGATATGTCGGCTATTGCTAGTTGGTGGAACTATGTAAAATCGCCATTGTGTAGGTCAAAACAACAGAACAGTGGCAATTTTATAAGATTCAACCTGTCGTCATCATCATCATCATCATCACTAATATTGTTATTGCTGAAACTACATGAGTTTCTGTCAACAGGGGCTTGTTGGACTGAGGTCTCGGATGCTGAAGGCCTTACAGTCACAGGTAGTTTGCCCAGATTTGCAAAAGTCAAGATTAATTAGCTGGGGAGTAATGAAGATATGGAACTTCTTCAAGTTTTCCTTCATTCTTTATTTTCCCTTTCCTATATTGCCAAAGGGATCTAGAGTGCTCTGGGAACTACTTAGGAAATGAACACACACACACACACACACACACACACACCCCAGCTGGAAATACCTTGAAAGAAATCACAAACACTCCTTCCGTTTCACTTCCATACTGTGGAACTGCCTCTTCATCTTCTGTCACCATAATGATGGGCATCCTGTCCTGGCAGTGGTGGTAGTACCAAACGGCTGCATTGTATATGCTCCTAGAAAAGCAAAGGGCAGGTGAGCCCTCAAACACCAGCTCTTACTCAGAATTTTATATATTACTTTCGATCTGCTATCCTTTGGTTTATACAGCGAACTATCCACTCAACAATACTTCCTGAACACCATTATAAATACACCCCAGGTTGGGTACTCTGGGGGACACAAAGATGAATCAAAAAGTGCTTGACATCTTTTCTCCCCTACGACATCCAGCCACCACTGCAATCTCTTTCATTTCTTCATATGGCCTAAAAACTATGAGGTTCTGCCATCTATTAACACTTTTTAATTAGAGGGTTGAGTGACACAGCACCACATGGATGACAAGCTATGTGAGGCTTAAACGATAAAACAAGCCCTGGCTGGCTGGCTCAGTTGCTTGGAGCGTCCTCCCATACACCAAAAGGTTGCGGGTTTGATTCCGGATCAGGACACATACCCCGGTTGCAGGTTCGATTCGGGTCAGGGCGCATATGGGCGGCAACGAATGGATGTTTCTCTCTCCCCCTTCCCTTCTCTCTAAAAATAAATGAAAAAGCATATCCTAAAATGCTAAAGGGGCACTAACTCAAAGCCCTAGCCTCCGACCTTCGAGGTAACTTCTTAGGCACACGCTACTCAGTTTCTCAGAGGATCCCAGCAGGACTGAGCCTCGGTCTCCCACAGCATTAACACATCCTTTCCTGCGTTCCCTACTTCTCCGTCTCACTCTCCCTACTTCCTCAGTCCTGCTTATGGGAATTGCCTCAGAAGTAAACAACTCACACCAAGTCCTTGCTTCAGGCTCTGCTTTTAGGTGGACCTAAACTATGACACGGCTCTTCCTAAAACAGATCTACTGGAATTAACCTGCCAGTTTCAGCTTAATTAAGACTAGCTGGGATAACAGAGCTATGCCAGAAAAACTGAGATCTTAGCTTAAGAGTAGGACTCCCCATCTTCCCACACACAAGCATTAAAGTGATGATGTTTGGATCACGGGAATGACCCTGCTAGCTATTAGGGTCTGGGGCAAACTTACTCTGGGTATAACCTTCCTAATTGTAACTTCTAAAATAGATCAATTAGGTATTCAATTGACATATCTAAAATATTGACATGGTAAGCAGTTCGACATTAATCATGGTTCCAGAATAATTGTTGATTTTAGCATACCACTTAGATTAATGCCCAAATAGCCAATGATAAAGAAATTACAGAAGATCACACTCACAGCAATTCAGTGCCATACCTGGTCTGCCACTTTTCCATGGATTCTCCTCTTTCCCGAGGGAGATAGCAGTATTGCTGGAATTCATTAGCAAAGAGAACGCAATCATGACGCGCATCCTTCAGGAGGTTTCGCAATTTATTATACTGTCTGTGACACAGAGGAGAAAAATAAATCTAACATAGCAGGTACTCATCTACTGCCAGCTCTTGCTAAGGATCAAAAAAGATGAGGCAGTTTAGAGAAAAAGATGGATCATTTAAAACCTGAGAACCATTTATTTAATATTGGCCTTAGTGTGCGCAGTATCATTGGGCTGCTTTTTCTCAATTTTTGTCTGCTAGAATGTGCCTGGGCAGGGCCTCACTAATTAGTTTGTGGATCAATCCAGCCCCTCTAGACCTCTTCCTCCTTCTGGGACTTCTGGCCATTTATTATGTAATTATACGACGCTGCCCCACAGAGCCCCCACTTCAAAGGCTCACGGAGGACACAGAGGCCAGCAGACTTCCGCACTTTACTTTTGCACCTCACTTTGTTCTCTAAATGGCATTAGGCATTAGTACCTTTTACTTTTTGCTGGCAGCCCTAGAAAACTAAGTATGGGGATTTATCTGTAAATTTTATTTATGCAGCCACGTCATTTACATGAGTGAGGCCAGCTTCACCTGTCAGAGAACTAACAGAGAGTTTTAAGGTTTCCCATCAGGAGAGCCTTCCAATGTTAGTCCAAGTCACAAATCAAATATGAGGTCTTCTATGGGTCAATTTCTGAGAAGGTGCTTTTCAATAGTCTGGGTAACGTGGACTACAGAATATTTAGTTATTTCTCAGGAAGACAATGTTTATTTAAAAAGAGATTGATATTAAACTAACATAAAAATTATCCAAGGTCGATGACTTATTATTATTTAGTATAATAAAATTTGTGCCCTTCCATTCCCACCACCAGGTTGCCACCATGGGTTTTTAAGAAATTAGTCTTTTCATGAAAGCAAAGGCAGAACTCTCCAAATAAATGCTAACCACCATTATCTGCGTGGCCTCAACATTTCATTAGAAAACAAGAAACACTGATTTTCTTTTCTTAGTAATTCTAAAACTGAGCCAACATAAAAAACATTATTTGAATCATCAAATAATACAACTTATAATTCCCTAATAAACAAAGGGATTGATTTTCACTTCTGTGGATGGCAGCTTTCCTTAACAAATCCCACTGTGCAGAAAAAGCTGCCCCACCCCAAAATGCCTAGAACCCACTAAATTGGTAATTTTCCCACGTTCACAGATACACTGAAAATCATTTTTGAAACCTCTTAGATTATGCACAGAAGAGTCTACACCACCTGTCAACAGTGATCATCCCTGCAGACCGGTGAGGCCGAGACTTTTACTTTCTGCTTTACACATTTCTGTCATGCATGAATTTTTTCAAATCAGCATTTATTTGTTAAGCAATAAGAAATATTTTAGAAGAGGCTTCATAAACATCTACAATTTATTATTTCAGAGGAAACACCAAAAACATACTGCCCATTTTTCCTGATCATATCCTCCATAGTTTGTGTTCCCTTTATCTACTGTCACATTTTATACACTCCCAATAAAGCACCTGAACTTAGTGTAATTATTTGTTTACAAATCATCCCCCTTATTCAACATCCTTCATCCAGCAAATTTTTGCTGCACTCTTCCATGTGCCAGGTCTTTTGCTCCACTGCATGCCCTCAGGGGCCGCCACCCAGACATCTCACTGCTGTCCTTTGTCTGAAGCAGTCCTGCTCATGGTGAGCACAACAGAACCACCCCTTCCTCAAAAAAAATGAATGAAATGAAATAAAATAAAAATAAAAACGAGAAATACCAAAAGACCCAGCAATCCCACTTCTGGGTCGAGACCCCGAAGAATTGAAAGCAGGGTCTCAAAAGATATTAGTACACCGCTGTTCAGAGCAGCATTACTCACAATAGCCAAAAACTGGAAGCAACCTAAGTGTCCTTTGACAGGTAAATGGAAAAACCAGAAGGTGCTATATAGATGTATGTACCATGGGATATCATTCAACCTTAAAAAGGAAGTTCTGGTACATGCTATAACATGGACGAAGCTTGAAGACATGATGCCGAGTGAAATAAGCCTGGCACAAAAGTGCTGTATGGGTCCGCTTATATGAATTTCCTTGAGTAGTCAACTTACAGACAGGAAGTAGAATGGTGGTTGCCAGGGGATGGGGAAGGGAAGAGTGGGAAGTTAGTGATAAATGGGGGTAGAGTTTCAGTCTGGGAAGATGAAATAAGTTCTGGAGATTGGTTGATAACAGGAATGCACTCAATGTCACTGAACTGTACACTTTTAAATGGCAAATGTTATGTTATATATATTTTACCATAATTTTAAAAAATAGCTATACTAATTGGTAAAACAAAATAAAACAAAAAACAGAACCGCCCATTTTAGTGGGACAAGTGCCATGAAAGGCAAAGTTCGGGGTGTGACAAGAACATGAGAGGGATGGGGAAGGCATCTGGGAGGAGGCAACACTTGAGTCCTGAAGGATGAATGGAAGTTAGCCAAAGGGCCCAAGGGAGGGGGGAGGGGACAGATGCTCAAGACAGCAGACAGTCTGGCTCATCTTTGTATCTTCAGTGCTTAATCCAAAATAGGTGCTCAATAAACGTTTTCCAAACGAATCAATGAACTCACAACTCTTTGTGACAACAGTGATCCCATACAGGATATTCCTCAGAAGAAACCGACATTCTCAGAACCCAGTTACTCTTTTGCTAGGCTTCCTACACAACACAGCATTTGTTATGCCACTGCATTTTTGACCCAGGTATTCTCAAACCCTGTCCTTCCCAAATACTGATGTTCTTGTTCTACAAGACAGATCCAGGGGGTTTAGCACCAAATGAGAAGAAAGATAATTCTTCCTAATGTTTAGAAAATTACATAACTTAAAAAAGAATTTTCTCAATTTTAAGTTTCATCCCCTTATATTTTTCTTAGATTTTTAGTGTGCTTCCATTTGTCAACCACCTATCAGCTGGATAAAACAAATAAACCAATGGCACAAGACTATTAACGGGGAAAGCAGGAGAGAAACAGGGAATCACTCTGAGTGTGACATCTGGATGTTCTTGTGGGCATGGGGGCTTATGGTTATAATTTAATAGTGCACACATACAATACAGTCATTTTTTTTGCTAGTCAGGGTTGGCGGTGCATATTATACTAGTAGAATTGAGAAACTTGCATGGAACCAGCAAAGAACATCCATAGTGCCTTGAACAAGTTTGGCCTGAATGATCGGAGAATAATAGTTTTAGAAAGTGAAGTACAATTACATTATCTTAAGTTTTAAAAATTCCAGTCGTACAGAAAACCCCTAGTTTCCCTGGACTGGTTTCAGTGTTTTCCAAATCTCTATTATCAAAAACATTTCAAACAATTTCTTAGTGGGGCTGAACTTACCTTCTTTAAATTGATTTTTTTTTTTTTACTATTTTTATTCAAGGTGATCTTACAGATGCAACATCCCTTCATCCCATGCCCCTGCTGACTATACTCTCTGGGGATTAGAAGTGGGTGTCCCACAATCAGTGGGGAAGTGAGTTGTGCATTCAGCATTGTGTTTCTTCAACCAGTTTCCCCAGAACCTTGGTAGGGTCTAGTAGACTTACTTTCAAAGGTCCTTGAGTTTTCTACAAGAATTTTAAGTTTATGTTTCCATTTACGTGGGGAGCCGATATAGGGTTAAGCCTCGGACTGACCTGTTGGCAAAGTCACAAACAGGTCTTCCGAGTCTTAAACAACCCAATCCAAGAGGTGGCTGCTGATTTACACGCGCTGTCATTTAAAAAATAAAAATGGGGGAATTTGCCGGAAGCCGGTCCACCCTTGCTGCTTGACACAGTCGCTGCAGGGAAGAAACATCTGCACAGCTTATATTTCAAAGGACCTGGCGTATATGGCATATGTTTGCTCCCCCTCTTAGTGCTATGTGTTTTAAACAGGACCACCTCTCCGAGAAAGGTTGTTTCCCCAGGTTAGGATTTTTCCCTGGAGTTAGGGATTAATAGGACTAAGGAAGAGAATAAACCAGTGAAACCCCCTAGTGTTATAGAAATACCATGTACTACTTATGAAGAACTTGGACTAAGACTGTTGGCAATAAATTTGGGACTTGTTGGGCCCACATCCCCAGGGGTCTGCCCACCAGGGAAAGCACCAAAGCCTATACCCCTGGAGACCCACTGACACAGGGCAGTCCCAGGGAAGGCAAGCAGCGAGGCTGGAAGGACATAACCTTTACTGGGTAGGATAATCTCCTTCAGTCACTTCCTTGTAGCCTATCAGTAGAGCAGTGACCTTGGAATAGCCCTTGTAATGGAACACAGAGATTAACCTAGACAAGATTAAAATCAACAGAACTAGATAGAGACAGGATTTTTGGCAAAGGTCAGATAAGAAACAAGGAACTGTAGAACGTTACCCAAACCATACCACGATGTGATTATAGAGGCACACTTATAGGATCAAATGGTATAAATACAGATGTTAACAGGACAAAAAAAAAAAAAGAACCTCGCTATGCTGATCAACTGAATGCTGTCTTCGTCATTCCTTCATCACCGACTCCGTCCACACCTTTGGGAACACCTGGACTTGCTGGGGCTGGACCCCAACACATTTATATTAGGTGATACTCTTAAAACATTTCTAACAGAGTATCTTTTGGACCAGCTGAATGACTGCCTTCTAACTGCAGTACCCTTTGGTCAGTGCCTGCCCTCCTGGCAGCCTCAGACACTTCAAACTCAAGACCTTTATCTGCCCCTCCCCCTTAGACCTCGTTGGGTGCATCCTCTCTCCATCCACTTACATAAGCCAGAAAGCTTAGTGTTATCCTTGACACCACCTTCTTCCTCACCTCACTTATCTAAATTCATACTAAGTTCTACAGATTTTTTAAAAAAGTAACAGCTTTATTGAGATATAATTCACATGCCATAAAATTCACCCTTTAAAATGTACATTTCAATGGTTTTTAGTATAGTCACTGACTTATGTAATCATGCCCACGATCTAATTCCAGAACATTTCATCACCTTCAAAAGAAAAATACCCATTAAGCAGTCATTCTCCATTTCCCCTGACCCCCAGCCCCTGGCAACCTAACTAATCTACTTTCTGTTTCTTGGATTTACCTATTCTGACATTTTATATAAGTAGAATCATACACTATAAATTTTTCAGTGTGGTTAGTTTCTTTCACTTAGAATAATATTTTCATGGTTCATCTAGTTGTGGCATGTATCAGTTCTCCATCCCTTTTTATGGCTGACTAATATTTCTTTGCACGAATAAACCACATTTTATGAAACCATTCAGCAACTGATAGACATTTGGGTTTTTCCATTTTTTTGGCTACTATAAATAGAGCTGCTATGAACATTCATGTACAAGTTTTTGCGTGGACATGTTTTCAATTCTCTTGGTCACATACTTAGGAAGTTCTATAGATTTTACCTACTAAATAGCTATTTGAAATGTCTATTTCTCTCCATCTCTAAGCTATCAACATCTCTCGTCTGAACTAAAGCAACAGCCTCCTGTCTTCTGCCTGCCTTTTCTCCACTGGCCCAGGCATCTTTTCAAAACAGCAGTCTAGTTATGTCATTTCACCCTGCTTAAGACCCTTCACTGACATCCCTGAGGCCCCGAGGTCTACCATCCAATCCAGGGCCTTCTTTATGTTCCTTGAGCAGCATTCCCTTCCCTATGACCTTGCACAGCAGTTTCCTCACCTGGGAAGCTTTTCTCTGGTTTATACCCACTCATCCCTCAGAGCTCAGTAGAGGCACCGCCCTCAGGAAAGCCTTTCCCGTCTCCCTGATGACTTCCGGCTCTCCTGGAGCTCTGTACCTGGCCTTCAGTGCACCTGTCACAGCTGCAGTTCTCCATCTGTTTACCTGATACTGCCTGCTCCCCTCAAGACCATATCCACTTTTGTTCACTACTGTGTCCTCAGTGCTGGCAGTTTCTGGAACCTATAGTCTTTCAATAAAGATTTGTTGAATAAAAAAACAAACACCTGTGAATGAATGTGGTCAACAAAGACAGCCTTACAGAGTTATCAAGAAACCCCTCATTAAATAATCATTTGAGGATTGTTAGACGGCACAATGTGTGATTATCCTGAACAATCAAAACCTTAACTTTTCATACTGTTTTATATAATATACTAATGAGACCAGGCCATTTTTCTGCATCAATATTATTTAAATAAAAAAAACCCAAAGTCATATTAAATACAGGAGCAGATTAGAGCTATGTCTCTCTCCAACTCTGGTAATTTCACTTCAGTAAATTAATGTCATCTGTCACATTAAATTAATGTTCATTTGCAGTTTTCTGATTTTACAGTTTTGTTTATTGAATCTGAAGGTTTGATTTTTTGTTTTGTTTTGTTAATCCTCGCCCTAGCATATTTTTCCATTGATTTTTAGGGAGAGTGGAAGAGAGAGGGAAAGACAGAGAGAAACACATCAATTGGTTGCCTCCTGCACGAGCCGACCAGGGAGGGCCTGGGCCAGGGAGGCGCCTGCAACCAAGGTATGTGCTCTAGACCAGAATCAAACCCAGGACCCTTTGGTCCACAGGCAGATGCTCTATCCACTGAGTCAAACTGGCTAGGGCTCTATTTGGTCTTAGTGTTGTATTAAGTACTTAAGCATGAGGACTTACACCTAGATTTATGTTTAAAGATATTTAAATAGTAATACAACAAAATAATTTAAATTAACACTGTGTGTCCATGAGAAATGTTTTCTTTTAGAAACAAAGTCAGTGATATTACTCATGTTAAGTAACACTGATGCATTGAATGGGGATAGATCATGTTGGCTTCTTAGATCCTCTTTGACTATAATAGTCCATGATCCCTATCTTATGATATATATCGAGGAACTAGGCAAGAACTATTGAGACTCTAAAGCTATACAGAAGAAATCAGAAAGGGGGGTCAAAAGGAGAAAGCAAGGCATCCTTAAACTAGACACTAGACCAGAGCAGGACTTTTATTTTATTTTTTGTTAATCCTCACCCGAGGATATTTTCCATTGATTTTTTTTTTAATAGAGTAGAAGGGAGGGGGCGAGACAGGGAGAGAACACATTGACTGGTTGCCTCCCGCATGCACCCCCTGGGCTCGGGATCAAGCCTGCAACTGAGGTACCTGCTCTTGACTGGAATCCACCCAGGACTCTTCAGTCTGCAGGCTGACACTCTAGCTGTTAGGTTTGATGGAGCAATTGAGTTGATACCCTTCCCCCAGGAACTGGCTTTTCAGGTCATTTCACCATGGACATTCTCTTTGCTGAGACCACTTTACACTTGCAGTGACCACATGCCATTCTCTCCCCTCGGGGTATGCATAAAGAAGTCTCTGCCCAGAAAAATCCCGCCAAAAGTCCTTTAAAAGCTGCTGACTCCCCTCACTGGGTGCTGGAGCCATCCAGGCTCAGCCACCTGGTGTGGGGATGATCAAATAAATTCGTAATACCTCACCACTCTGTGCATTCCTCCTTCGTAATCCCTCACCACTCTGGCCTCATGCATTCCTCCTTCGGAGACCTAACACCAGCCACTGAACCAAACCGGCTCTAGCCAGAGCAGGTATTTTTAACTGACAAAGCTTTCCTAAGCAATACTGTTCCTAAAAGCATATAAAAAATTATTTACTAGCATCTCAAAAATTTCCAAGGAAGAACTGAAAAATAAAACAAAATGTTTCCCAACATTAAATGAAGCAAACACCACAGAGCTTCTGCTAGGCCACATTTGGTTAAATATAAAAAGTCAAATGACTTACACTTTGTACAATATAGTAATGAAACAGGCCATTTTGAACACTTATGAATGCCAGATTAATAAAGCAAACTCCTGGATGTTATCTATTCAACAGCTATCATCAATTCTAAAGTTAGCTTTCAACATATGACACTTTCTAGGGCTTAGGTCATTTAGCTATGTCAATCTGCATACACCAGCTGGTTGCTTAACAGATAAACAAAGCACCAAGTCCCAAACTTGCTGATTCCTTTCCTGCCTCTTTTTTCTCGACATCAATCATGTTCATTATCCCTCCTTTAAGACCAGTCTCTAACCCAGTGATGGCGAACCTTTTGAGCTCGGCGTGTCAGCATTTTGAAAAACCCTAACTTAACTCTGGTGCCGTGTCACATATAGAAATTTTTTGATCTTTGCAACCATAGTAAAACAAAGACTTATATTTTTGATATTTATGTTATATATTTAAATGCCATTTAACAAAGAAAAATCAACCAAAAAAATGAGTTCGCGTGTCACCTCTGACACGCGTGTCATAGGTTCGCCATCACTGCTCTAACCCCTTCAGAGGACTTTGTAGCTTAATCCCCACACCCCATATATACTTCTGCACTTTGTATAGTCCACATTAAATTATCCCACCTGTGTCTAAGGTGTGTCATAATTACCTTCTTGCTTCTTGCATCCGACCCCAACAAGACAATAGGTCTGTTGAGAAAGGAACTAAGACTTTGTACTACTCCAGAAGGCCTGAAACTAGGGGCCCAAAAAGTGCTTACCAAATGGGAAAACCAGGGTGTTATCTTATGGCCTACTTCATAACTCATCTTTTGTTTTCACATTTAGTATATTCATAGACATGGTAAAGCGATGGAAAACCAATAGTTTTTCATCAAGTTAACTACTTTTGAAATGTTCAGGAGAAAAGACATTTAAATCCCAATTCTTTGTTTTTTAATGTCCCAGCAACTGGTTTTAAAAACAATCCTTAATATTAAAAATATTTTAGAAAACAGAAGCTGAAAAGGCTCTGCAGTGTGTTAGCAATCTGAATGATAACAACAAATTGATTTTAGTAGCAGAAATTGAAATACGACACCTAGAGCAGCATTTAAATCTGAATGTGTATAAACATCTATATCTTTCTGTCTGAACAAAATCAACTTCAAGCTCATTTAAAAATATTCTGTCTGAAAAACCGGCACACAATCTAGTTAATGCATATTTTTTGGAACTGAGCATATAATAAGGACAACTTATCATTTTCATATACAAATAAACACAGTTCATCTTTTACGACCAAGATCTGAAGAAACTACAACATTTAAAAAAGAATAAATGCATAGTTTCTGCTTTTTAAATGACTTGGGCTGTTAAGAGTCTGGATATATAGTTTGTAATACTGTATGCTGTTTCCATACAGCATGAGGCTTCAAGTTCAAATCATAAATCTTTTCCCAATGTTAAATGAAACAAAACCAATTTTTGAGCATTTGTTTAAAAGGTACAAGGCAAGCATTTTAGACTGATTTCAATAAAAAAATCCTTTGTTTAGCAAATACAATTACTATGGTTGGTAGTTATACTAGTAATCTAAAAATAAAACAAGTTATTTCTGATTTCATTGAATAAATCACTACAAATACGATTTGTATCTACCATAACGGAGTCTAAAATTTAAAAATAAAGTACTTTTCCCCAAGGGAATAAAAAGTAAGCATCTGAAACAATAGATCTATAAATAAGAAGATTAAATAATATGCGTTATCAACAAGAAATAAGCAATAACTGCTATAAAATGTAAACCAAAAGCCAAGAATCTTAAATACCCAATACTGGGGACACTGCAGCTTATTGATCTACAGTCAGATCTTTTGGACAGATGTTGAAGCAGAAATATAAAATAATGTTATTGCATTCCTACCAGCAAAGAGAATACTAAATTAGTTCAAAAAATATTTTCTGACAAAATAATAAATGCATCCCCTCCCCCTGCAACAAAGGATCTTTTCTAAAAAAAGGTGTGTGTGGGGGTGCATCAACGCCATAAATAAATAATGCAAAACAGATACCTCCGGCCTCTTTGATGCTGCACAGCTTGACAAGCTGTTTGCATGAAAATAATTCCCTTTAATTCAGGAAACTCAAGGATCTCGAGGTAATCTTGAACAACTTTCCAATCGGGGATCATGTAATGAGTCACATCACCAGACAAGAGTTTCCCCTCTGAAACATAATTCAAAAGGTAAGAGATTAGACAACACTTGCAAACCTGGTTTATTACTATTTCAATGTCATGGTGCCCTCCTGTGCAAAATAACTTCCAACCTTAACTACGCTGTGAAGTTTTTAAAGGACAAGACAAATGTGCTTTGGTAGAGGCCCAACATTCAGGTAAATTCAGCACCTTCATTTTTCTGAAGCGGTGATAAATAAAAGTTCAGTGTGGTTTACAGTGTTGCCAGTGGAGGAGGGGATAACTGATTTTTTTTTTTTTTAAAAAAAGGGTACATCTTCAACACAACCTGAATATTTGTGTTAACTCGGGAGAACCTCACATTTAAACGAGGCACTCTAAACATGTACATGTTAGCCACTTGTTTCTGTCCAGCAATTCCAAGTCGGCACTGTCTCCAGTTTGTGAACATGCGCAGACGTCTCCAAGGTCCAGAAAAGATGCTCAGGGCAAGCGAGGGCGGTGGCAGGGTGCCCGCCCAGACCGTGTCAGGGAGCTGGGGAGCCAAGAGGTAACCGAAATGTTCACCTTAACCATCAATTCCTAATCAAGCTAAGGATTCCAAATAGTCGTTGAAAAGGCTCAGGACGCTCATCTCCCCCAGAGGGAAGAGGACCAGCAAGGAACCTCCTGCGTCCGATGGGCCAGTGCGGGAAGGTCTAGTGCACTGCGGTCCCCAGTCCAACTTCCCCCATGACCTTCCCGCTCACCGGGGCGCACATCGCTCACTAACCCCAGGTGAAGAGGGCGCTCTCTCCCCCGGACAAATGCCCGAGGCGTCGGTGCTGGGGCCAGAGAACGTGTAGGGAGCAAAGAGCGGCAGCAGGGCCCGCGCCCAGGCCACCGGTTCGCGTCCCGCCCGTCGCTGAGGGGCCCACAGCTCAGGGCTTCCCCGGTTCACCGCCTGCGCCCCTGGGGGCAGCCAGGCCCGGCTCCCGCGCTCAGGTCTCCCGGGGGCCCAGTCCCCAGGCTTCGGGGCCGGGAGGCAGCTGCCCTGGGCCCTCCATTTTCCTGGCGCAGCAGCCGGGAGTCCTACG